TCTGTGCCATCTCCTATCCTGTATCTGTCTCAAATACTCCTATGGATTCTCCGCAGGGAGTGTCCCATGGAAGCCCTGCAGTGTGTGTGGCTGAGACTTAATATAGATCCCAGGTGACCTTGACCTCTGACACAGAAAACTCGAGAGCTGATGAGGAAGCCCAAGACCAGGGCAGGACGCACGTGGATGAGAGATCTTGTTCTACCACTATCATGGGCAAGTTACTGAAACCCGCTCACAGCCCCCTGGGCCTCTCTGGAAAGTAGGGCTGCTGTGGCTGTCTCCCAGAGCCCTTGTGGGGCGAGGTGAAGAGTCAGGGCGCCCTGAGAATTCTTTCTGCTAATGGGATGACTCCACCATCACAGCCAGAAAGATCAGAGTTCAAGCACAAACCACCAGCGTGTACCTGCCAGAGATGACCTTGCATTTGCTGAAAATGACTGAGTGTCTGAGATAGCACTGGTCATACTGTGGAGAGAGTCTACTTTTTTCTCTATTTTATTTTGTGTTAATGTTGGTTGGAGAATAATGGTTGCTTCAAATTAGATATTACTTTGAATAATTAGATTCACCTTTATAAAGCTATGATAAATTAATTACTGCTGCAGGAAATCAAATTTTTAAAGGACATAAAACAGGAGTCTGAATGCTTCATATAGTTCTCTAAACTGGGTTTGTTAGATATTATCTGTATTTTTTTTCAGAGAGGTAAAATTAACCCCAGTTTGGAAGGTTATAGTGGCATTTAACAATTCAGTTAGATGATCTTACAAGTCTCACACTGAGCAAAGTGAAAATTAGAGCAGCTACCATTTATGAACAAAATCTCAAGAGGTGGCCACAATGCTAGATGCATGGTGTTCTTAAATTTTTAAGTTCTTTTCATTTTATTTGTGAGGCAGAGAGAGAGGGAGGTATAGATAGGTAGGTCTTCCATCCCCTGCTTCATTCCCCAAATGCCCACAACAGCCAGGAGCTGGGAATCCAATCTGAGTTTCCCAAGTCCTTGAGTAGGCACCTGCTGCCTCCCCGGTGCATGTTGGGAGGACGCTGGATGGGAAGCAGAGGAGATGGGACTTGGACTGGTGCGCCGACAAGGATGTGGGTGTCCCGGGCGTCAACATCTCCAGAGCAGAGCATGATTTTGAGACGTTTGGTTTTGCAAAGGAAATTTTCACGTGCCTATTTCATTTTTAAGGCTGAGCATTAAGAAGAATTCAGCTTGTTTCTGGGACGTGACCAGGACAAAGCAGACGTCTCCCCTTTGTGAACTTCTCGGCCCCCTTCCTGTGGTGACAGCCTCATTTACCCGTGGATGGTGACATCCTTCCTACTCTTCCTGCATCTTGCGGTTTTTCCACAGCAAGCAGATGGTATCTTCCCAGTTAGGGAAAGGGTTTCAGGTTGTTACATCTGTTACTCATTGCAAAGACCAACGGTGATGTGGGGCAGGGGTGGCGTTGACCCCTAGGGCTGGCCCAAGGGCGCCCTGGGGAGGAGGAGCTGATCCCAGCCAGAGATGTTGAGCCCCAAGCCTGGCCACACGGACGATCAGCGAGCAAGATACACACCCGTGCCTACCGTGTGCTCTTGAAGCCAGGCTGTGCGGCTGTGGCGTTTGCATATTGCTGTGGTTCTCAGACTACAAGGAGGTACGTTACAAATATTTCCAAGTAAGCAGCTGCAGTGCCAGGGGCCGGACAGTGGGCCAGGGGTCGGGGACCAGAGCCCTTCCTGCTGGCGCACCAGAGAGGGCTCAGCTCAGAAACTGCACGTGAGCGTCAGATCCCTGAGCAGGGTCCCGCTGTGCAGTCGGCGGACACCGAGGCTGAGTAAATCTAAGGTTCCGCTGTCCTTTTCCTGGCGTAAGCTTTGCTAGCGGAACACGCAGCTGTGACACAGGCGCATACCCTGCCCGACCTTCTGCACACGCCGCAGAGCCCTCACCAGTACTGGAAGTGTGCTGTGGTGCTTCCTGGAGTGCCGCCTCGCCTCGTGCTCCCTAAGGCGCGCAGGGTGGCCCCAGGTGGGGTGATTTCCGTGTCCCTGACACACCTCGAGAACAGTGCTGCAGTGACAGGGCCACCAAGCACGACGGATTCCCTGCTGGACTGGCGCCGTCTCCCATCTCCGGAGAGCGCACACTCAGCAGCTGCTCCCGGGAGGCAGGGGCTCGGGTCTGCCCAGGGCAGAGGAAGAAGCGGGCTCCAGATCCGCTCCGAGTGCTGAGCAGCTCCCCCAGCACCCTGTGCGCCCGGGAACCCTTGTCCTGAGGTCGGCTGTTGCTGAAGCTGCAAGGAGCCCTGCACCGCCGGGTGCTCAGCCAGCAGTTACGGAGAAGGCGAAGGAGCTTGGCTCGGGACTGCTGGCAACAGTGGTAGGTTTCTGGGCTCACACTGGGGCTCCATTTTTATTGTTTACTTGGAGACAGAGACAGAGGAAGATTTTCCCTCTGCTGGTTCACTCCCCAAACTCCTGACACAGCTGGGATTGGCCCAGGTCTCCCTCATGGATGGCTGGGAGCCAGCTACTCGAGCCATCACCTGCCACCGCCAAGGGTGTGCTGTGGCAGGAAGCGGGACTCTGAAGCAGAACTGGGACTTGAACCCAGGCACTGCAGTACAGGATGTGGGCGTCCTAAGCTGTGGCGTAACCACTGTGCCACACACGCTCCTCTGCCCCAAACACACACACACACACACACGCAGGTTTACTAGTCACAATTTAAATCTGGCTAAATGGCACTTGGGTTTTCAGTGTGATGACTCCAGCAGGTGATGCAGCCCTTGGCTGAATGTCTTAGTCCAAATTTGAAAACATTATGGTGAGGGAAAGAAGCCAGACACACAGTGTGTGAGGCCATTTCTATGAAATGCCAGAGGAGGCAAACCCAGAGACAGATGTGGACTGGTGGCCAGAGGAGGCAGGATAGGGAGAGACGGGGCCTGGTGGCTAGTGACAAGAGTGTGAGGCAGGATGGCTCCATATCAAGTCTTGGGCAGTTTGGCAAAGCCAACAGGAACGGCCAGGCTTGTGCAGGTGCCGTCACTTCCTGGGGTGCGTCGTTCCAGCCATTGAAGACCAGTGGGCCCACAGCACCCTTGCAGGAGTCGCCCGCAGAGCCAGGGGCCCCAGGAAACATTCTGCAAACATCACCCCGTGAGCCCTGGGTCAAGAAACACAATGACTCTGCCGTCTGAGTGCAGGACACCAGTGCCCGCCCGAGGGCAGGCTGAAGAAATTCCGTGGAGACAGTACAGCCCCGCAGGAGACAGAGTGCCTCTGAGGCGGCATTCCTTGGTAAACTGAACCCGCTGCATCCCAGTGCTGTGGCCAGTCCTTGTCTCCTGGTCTCAGCTTCCTAGAAAGCACAATGGAGGATGTCGCCCACTGCAGTGAACCTGGGCAGGTGTCACGCCCGTGCACACCTGCCTCAGCACCCAGTTCATGGTCCCGCAGCCCGAGGAGTCACTACTGACTGTCCAGAGTGCCAGCCGATGAAGCTGCGTGGAAAGGCTGGGGGAAATCTGTGCCGCTAAACGCCTAGGGAGGCAGCTCACCCATCTGTCCTGGCAAGCGTTCCAGGCGGGCACCATCCTGCCAGGACGGTGGCCCTTCTGTGCAAATCTAAATCCTTCAGCTGGAACCCAGAGTGATTGCATCCCATTCTATTTTCAGACCACTTAGAGCAGCTTGCCCCAGCTGTTACAGGACCATACAGTGTTGTAAGGGCTGGAGCCACACGGGAAGTAATGCATTCACCCAGAACTTGGTGCCGGCACAGAACAGCCCGGTGGTCACCTGGGCTGGAGGGTAGAGTGTGGTCAGGAAGGATGTGAAGGTGTGCAGTGGCTTCAGGTCCTCTGGGCCCAGGACTCCAAGTTCAAGGGATCCTGCTTCCCCCTGTGCCTCTCAGTGGAGGTGTTTGAAGTGGTGGGGCCAGTGCCACCTGCTCAAAGAGCTCCCCTCCATTCCAGCCGAGGGTGAGCCGGACAGAAGACTTGCTGCCCTTGTGGGAATCACATCCCAGTGGGAAGAAGGCTCCTCTTCAGGGCCGGTATTGTGACACAGCAGGTTCAGCCGCCGCCTCAACGCTGGCATCCTAGATCAGAGCACTGGCCTGAGTCCCGGCTGCTCCACTTCCCATCCCGCTCCCTGCTGATGCGCCTGGGAAAGCAGCAGAGGACGGCCCAGGTGCCTGGGTGCCTGCACCCACGTGGGAAGCCCGCCTGGAATTCCTGGCTCCTGGCTGTGGCAGGACCAGCAGTGCCCCTCGTTCGAGGAGTGAACCAGCGGATGGAAGATGGCTCGCTCTCGCTGTCTCTGGTTTTTCCCGTCACTGAGCCTTCCAGGTAAATTTTTTTAAGCCTCCTCTTCCACAAATAAGGCCTTGCCTTACTCTTGGTAAGGCTGAGGCAACGCCTTTTCTCCAGACTGCAAACCCGCCGCTTTCAGAGCCCCCCCCCCCCACCGGGTCACCTGTGGAATCCGGAGTGACCCCTGGATCTCCCAGCCTCCGCTGCGGGGTCTCCCAGCCTCCGCTGTGGCATCTCCCAGCCTCCGCTGCGGGGTCTCCCAGCCTCCGCTGCGGGGTCTCCCAAGAGCGGTTCTGCCAGGAGCCCACAGCCACCACAGCATCCTGGGTTTCCGTTTCTCATTTGTTCTAGATGGTTGTTGTCTTTATTAGTCACTTAAAGAGCGTTCTTTTGAGTGATCTGGGTTCTGTTTCTCAGGGTTAACCCTCGGACTCTGACTCCAAAGCCCGGGGCCCACCCTGAACCCTTGGGTCCACGGGCAGGCCTGGATCAGCCCCAAGTCCAAGGCTGCTGGGATGTTTGTGGTTTGGGGTGCCTGTCCCGTCCTCGGTGGGGTGTGGGCAGGTTGGGGTGCCTGTCCTGTCCTCGGTGGGGCATAGGCAGGTTGGGGTGCCTGTCCTGTCCTCAGTGGGGCGTGGGCAGGTTGGGGTGCCAGTCTCCTCCTTGATGGGGTATGTGTGGGTTGGGGTGCCCTCCTGTCAGGGTACCTGGCTCATCCTCCCTAGGGTGTGGGGTTGTGCCTGTCGGGGCTCCCATCCCTCCTCCATGCATGTGTGCAGATTGGGATGCTCTTCCCGCCCTCTTGGGGTGTGTGCGGGCTGGGGGGGTTCATCTTGGTCCCTGGTTCTGTCTCAGGTCACCTCGCAGGTTATGCCCCCAGTGGCCTGTCCCGGTTGCTCTGCTTTTCTGTTTGCGGTCCAGTTCTGGGCAGCTTTTGTCCAGCGGTAATTTCTTTTAATCCGGATACAGTGGCCAAATGGTCGTCAGGCTCAGCCAAATCCCGTCATTAGAATTCTTCCCGGGATTTATCAAAAGTGGATTTGCAACCCTGAGCTTGCCAGCCCGCGGAGCCTGCCCTGAACCCTGTGCAGCCTGATCCGGCCAGGGCCTCGCTCTGGCTCTCGCTCGGTGCCCGAGGTCTGGCCAGGCTGCGCCCCAGGATCGGGGCGCGGGATCTTTGCCGCCCTCTCCTGCCGCCCCTCCGGAATATGACGCCCTCAACGCGGGGGGGGGGGGGGTGCTGTGGCCCCTCCCTCCGAGGCCGGAAGTGCCCCTAACTTTCCCGATTCCCCACCACCTGTTTGGGGCTGGAGATGGGGTGGGCGAGTCCTCCGAGGGGCAGGAGGGCTGGGCCAGCCGCGGCTGCTCCGGTCCCGGGAGGCGGGGGGCGCTGTCCGATTGGCCGCGCCCCGCGCCCCGCCCGCTCGGCCCGCGGTCTCAGAGCTCGTCCAGCGGGAGGGAGGGAGGACGCGCAGGGGCGGGACCGGCCTCTAGGACCCCACGCGCGGGTCCGGCCCTGCAGCTTCGGAGCGCGCCGAGCGGGACCCGTGCGACCCGCACTCCTGGACCGGCTCCGGGGCGGACTCCCGAGCCCCTGCGCCAGGCGGTGGCTGGACCCGGCTCCCGGAGCGGATTCGCGCGCGCCTGGACCCGGCGTTACCTGGGCCTGGCTGTACCTGGGCGCAGCGGCCAGGACCAGAGCGTCGCAGAGAGGGACGTGCTGCCGGAGCCGCCGCGGGAAGCCGCGGCGCTGGGAGCCCGAGAGGGCCGCGCAGAGGAGCCGGGGCTCGTCGGGATCCCCCCAGCCCCCGCCTTGCGCCTCCGTGAGTGGCTCCCGCGCGGCTGTTTACGGCCGCATTCGTGTCTCTGCGTTTGCTGGAGGCCGCCGCACGGAGCAAGAGCTGCCGGGAGGCGGCCTGGAGCGGCTGGGCGGGAGTGGCCTGGGGACGCACGGCCCGGGTGGCGTGAAGGCCCCTGGGGCTCCCGGGGCGAAAGTTCCCGGTCGGATCGTGGGGTGTGGCGCTCGGGGGTCGCCGCAACAGTTGGCTGCCTCTCCCCGCGCAGTGTCGCTTGTTCACCAGGTCCGCCGTGGAGGCCGAGCCGCCCGAGCGCCCGGAGGAGCCGCGGGGCCACCATGTCCGCGCGCCCGCGCTGCCGGGGTCTGCTGTGCTTGCTGGCAGTGACGGCCGCCGTGCGCCCCGGCGCGTGCGGGCTGTGCCCCGCCGCCTGCACCTGCGCCACCGACGTCGTCAGCTGCACCGACAGGAACCTGTCCAGGGTGCCTGCCAACCTCTTCAGGCTCGTCCGGAGACTGGACCTGAGTTACAACCGCATCGGGCTCCTGGACTCCGACTGGATGCCGTCGCCCCTGCTGAAGCTCAGCACCCTGGTCGTGCGCCACAACGACGTCGCCAGCGTCGCCGCGGGCAGCTTCGCCGCGACTCCCAACGTCCGGAGCCTGGATCTGTCGTGCAACCGGCTGCAGGCGGTGCGCGACGCCGCGTTCCAGGAGCTGCGGGCGCTGGAGGTACTGCTGCTCTACGACAACCGCATCTCGCGGCTGGACCCGGCGGCCTTCGGGGGCCTCTCGCGCCTGCAGAGGCTGTACCTGAGCGGCAACTGGCTCACGCAGTTCCCAGTGGGTCTCTACCTGGGCAGGTTCAGGCTGGCGGCGCTCACGTTCCTGGACGTGTCCTACAACCGGATCCCCGCCGTGCCGGTGCACCACATGCACCTGGTGCCGGGCCGGCAGCTGCGGGGCATCCACCTGCACGGAAACCCCTTCGTCTGCGACTGCGCGCTGCACTCGCTGCTGGCCTTCTGGTACCGCCGGCGCTTCAGCGCGGTGGTGGAGTTCAGGGACCACTACACCTGCCGCCCTGCGGCTGCAGCCGGAAGCAGCCAGCAGGTGCCCCTCCTGCGAGAGAGCTTCCTGAACTGCTCGGACAGCGTTGTCAACGGCTCCTTCCACGCGCTGGGCTTCGTCCGTGAGGCCCAGGTCGGGGAGAGGCTGGTGGTGCACTGTGACAGCAAAGCTGGCTCGGCAAACACCGACTTCCTGTGGCTGGGCCCAGACAACAGGCTGCTGGAGCCGGATAGGGACGCGGACAACTTCCACGTGTTCCCCAACGGCAGCCTGGTGATAGAGAGCCCTCGGCCCGAGGACGCCGGCGTGTACTCCTGCATCGCCATGAACAGGCAGCACCGGCTGAACGAGACCCTGGACGTCACCATCACCGTGAGCAACTTCTCTGCGGTGAGCAGGGCCCACGCGCACGAGGCCTTCAACACGGCGTTCACCACCCTGGCGGCCTGCGTGGCCAGCATCGTGTTGGTGCTCCTGTACCTGTATCTGACGCCGTGTCCCTGCAGGTGCAAGGCCCGGAGACAGAGGAGCGTGCCAAGCCAGAGCAGCGGTGGCGGCCCCCTCTCTGTGCCGAGTCCAGGCCCCGCGGCTGAGGGCGCGGCGGACGAGCCGAGGGCGGGTGCTGGGAAAAGAGTGGTGTTCCTGGAGCCTCTGAGGGACGCCGCGGCCCGGCAGAACGGCAGGGTCCGGCTCTTCCCTGGCGAGGCCGCCCTGGCCGAGGGCATCCTGAAGTCCTCGCGGGGGAAGTCCGACTCGGGCTCCGTGAACTCGGTGTTCTCAGACACACCCTTTGTGGCCTCCACCTGAGGCTGGGTCGGGGCTGTAGCACTGGGCGGGGGCGCGGTGGTGCTGTGGGTCTGTTTCCTGGAGCACGAGCAGGTGGCCCCGGCAGCGGTCAGGAGCAAGGGCGGCTCAGCCCCTTGGCTCCTCTGGGCGCAGGAAGACCGGCTGTTTCCCCAACCCAAGTTCTCAGCGACGCTGGCCGTGTGAGAGCTGGCCCAGAGCTGACGTGACTGACCGAGCTGTCCCTTTACATCCAGCCGCTGCCGACCTGCCAGGCCCCGAGGGGGTTGTCTGGGAGAGGGGAGCTGGGTGCTGCTGTGTCTTCAGAAAGAGGCAGCTGACCTGGGCCGGCAGCGTGGGGCTGGGGCCTGGACCGGTTTTGTTTGGCTTCTCTGCGAATCGCTGGAAGTCGCGTCACCCCACGTGTCCCGAGTGTGCAGGCGTTGGTGCCCCTGTCCGCGCAGATGTATGCGTGTGGTTCTGTGAAGCGTAGCTGGGCCCTGCTGTGCTGTGCGTGTCCTGTGCCCGTGTCCTGTTTTGCCTGGCTGCTGGAACACCAATCTAAGCTGTTTCCTGGGACGAGCTTGTGCTGTTTCTTGTAGCCATTCACACCAGACACCTCTGCTCAGCTCTGTGTGGAGCAGGGAGAGCGGACTTTGAGGGAGAAACTCGTCAGTTTCGCCGTGGGGACACCGTGTGCTCCGGCCAGGTTTGCAGGACACTTGTACAGCAAGTGAGAGCGCGAGCGAGCTGGGGAGGCCATGCTGTCTCCATCCCTGCCGTGCGGTCTCCCCGGTCCCCTCTGACCAGGTCTCCCCGGACCAGACGGTGTGTGAGGCCCTGCCCGTGTTGGGACTGTGCTGTTAGCTCCACCCGGGCTCCCAGTGGTTCCCTGCCCTGGTGGAACCCAGTGTGGGATTCTGACAGCCCAGCCTGAAGGAGCTCTGACCCTCACGTGCTGCTCCATCCCACTTTCCGGGGACGCTTGTGGGCTGTCCAGGGCCCAGCACTGGTTCTCAAGCAGATTGCACTCAGCACAGGCCTCGGTGCCAGCCAGAGGTCCATAGGAACGGTGACTGACAGGGGTGGGCGTGGACAAGGAACCCAGGGCCGGAGCCAGGATGACACACATGCAATGGAGAATCGAGGGTGTGCAGTCCCGGGGCTTGGAAGATGGCGTCTCAGACAGTGTGACCGATACCACAGAGCAGCAGCTGACGGCCACAGCACAGCCACTGGCTTTGGCTATGGGGGTTTTCCGTGCAGTGTCAATGATAGTAGTGGACATGTGGTGGCAGCCCCGAATGCCACGCCCTGGGCAGCAGCGGGGGAAGCACAGGCCTTTTAGGGACTCAGGCCTGTAGGGCGGACCTCACCCCTTCAGAGCCCAAGCTGCAAGCAGGGAGCGCTTCGCCCCTCACCGCCACTGTGTGGCTCTGGAACCGTCGCCGCTTCTCCCGCAGGTGCAGAGCAGCCCAGGGGCCTCACCGCCCTGCCTGGGGTGTGGGGGAGCCAGGGCCGCCCCGACGAGGAAGCTGCGGGCAGGGTCTCCATGCTGAGCCTCTCTGGGCAGGTCTCTGAGGTCCTCCAACCTCAGAGCCTGGCTGGGTGGGAGTGGGCCTTAGCAGGGCCATGCCCTCTCTGGCTAGTCGTGAGCTGAGGTGGAGACTAGGATACGACCAAACGAAAGGCAACAGAAAACTTGCCAAAAACCTAATGGCAAAGCTGTGTTTTGCACAGAAATAGGATAAGAAAGCGTAGAACTGGATGCTGGGATGTGAATTTTGGGTTCTTAAGTCTGTCTCCTTTGGGGGTTAGGAGTCTGATCACATGTATTTTAAATATAGGAACAGGATTAATTTGTCTTTTATAGACTCATCCCACTCAAAATTGCACAGCTTTCCTCTGGGTTACACTCTGGGCCACTTGGTTCTGTTGGGATGTGGGTGTGAGGCTGCAAAGATGGCAGAAGTGAAACTTCCCAGGCTGCTTTTCTCACTGGCGAAGCCACCAGGCCCAGTGTTTCTTCTAGGTTTATGGTCATGTGTTCCACAGTGCGCTGTAGGATCTATCGTCTGAAAGAATGGTCTTAAAGGTTGCCTTATTTATACTCAGCTTCTGTATTACTCCTCACTGTTTGGCCTAGAGACACTTCAATATATTTATTTTTTAGCTGTAGTTGTTGGAGTTATTTGCACAGAGAAAGGGTCTTTATTTTTCTACATAAGCATCCCTCTGAAATGTTCCCCAGAGTCAGGCAGCTGAGGCTAACTGTAGTCCCACTGTGCAGCAGGCTCCGCCCAGCCCCTCCAACACCACAGCCTCACCGTGTGACTGTGTGTGTCACCCCTCACCCAGCGGCCTTGTCCCCGAGGCTCAGCACCCCCAGGAGGCCTGGAGTGGCGAGACCCCCACACAGCAACAGGTGCACGGGAGCAGGTGCACGTGCGGCCGAGCCCTTCGGCACTGGGCCTCGGCGCCTCTTGCGTTTGCAGTGATGTCAGAGCACTTAGTCAAGAGGAGAATCCTGCTCCTCTGGGGACACTGCGGCGCTGACGAGCAGAGTGTGGCTTGCTGACACAGGCTGAAGCCTGGCTTCAGCGGCGGGCTGTAATTGATGGCTCTTGTTTTTTGAAATTATGAGATGCGGAAGATTTCCTCTGACTAAACCTCGATTCTTCCCTTTTTAAGCTATTTTTAGTTGGAAGGCAGCCCCACCAGATCTTGTTTGCCACAGTGAGCTTTGAAGCTTTCGGGTCTGATTAGATCACAGAGGCTGGGAATGTGCTCCGGGCTGTGGCGCGCACACTCTGGCTCCCAGCACTGCTCTCTTGTTGCTGTGCAGATTAGGACAGCCCCCTCCCTCCCAGGGAGCCCCGCCCCGCCGAGAGCCGTCCCCAGCCCCGCTGCCTGCGTCACAGGAATGGCAATGGCCGGTCCCCCTGCAAGTGTCCTGGACCGTGACCCAGGAAAGACGGAGCTGGAAGCCCTGTCGCGCCTCCCCGGGGAGGGTGCTCACCCCGGTGCTTCATCATCACAGCAGCCCTGAGACCCTCGCCCTGGGCCCCTAGGGAGGAGCTCACTACGGGCTTCCCCAGGTGGCCCCTCAGTGGTGACAAATGCCTTTCCCCCCAGCAGTGCTGGGACCGGTGTTTCACCAACAGAGCGACTTGGCCAGCTGGGCTTGGGCACCAGGCTGCCCGGGGAGGCTGGCACTGTTCCCTTCGCCAGGAGCCTTCCCTCAGGGGGCTGGTTTAGGCCTGAGTGCTGGCGTGTCATCGGTTTTGGTCCAGCCTGTGGGGGCATGGACCCCGCTCTGCCCTGCCCTCCCTCCGCAGGCCTGTGACGCCAGGACCTACCCAAGCTCTGCACCATTCCTGCCGAGAGCCCCTGGCTTTCCGTCCGTGCCCCACCCGGAGGGACTGAGACTTACACGTGCCCAAAGAGCAAGGAGTCAGCAGACTGGACCTGAGTCCAGTACCACCTGGATTCAGAGCCCAGGCTCCTAATGTCCCCCTCGGTGATGAGTCAGTGGGCTGCTTCCTGACCACTGCCCTGCGGCCTCCCTTTGGCTGCGCTCAGGACTCCGCCCCCAGAGCTGGCTGCTCTGCCCCCAGCGCTGCCCCCCCCCCCCCCGTGCCTCTCTGTTTCTATGGGTCCTCCATCCCCAGAGGCCTGGCGTGAGGCAGGTGTTTCAGTTATATTGAGCTCCCGGCAGGTGCCGGTCCCCGTGCCCCACCTAGCACTGGCGCTGGGCTAGCTGCTGCCAGGCGTGGCAGAGCCCTCACGAGGCAGATGCCCGGGCCGGGGGTCTGGGAGGCTCCAGGGAGGAGTCTGTCAGAGGACCGCTTGTTTCCCACGCTGGATGCCCAGACGTGGGCGGACCGTAGGACTGCGCTGTGCTCGGGCCCTGGGGACCCACCCGGGGGCTGTCGGGAAGCAGAGCAGTGTGGATGATCTATCTCCTAATAAGGCCCTTGGGCAGGTGGACCCGGACGCTGGGGGCGGGATGCGGGGTGCAGTTCCTGTTTTCCTGCTTCTCCCTGTGCACTGGCGGTGTGGCTCCGCCGGTTCTGTCCCACAGCTCAGCAAGGAGGAAGCATGGGCCTGGCTCACGGGAGCGCTGCCAGCACGTTTTGCTGTGGAACAAGAGTCCGAAGGCTCGGCCCGGCTGGGGAGCGCTGTGGGCTGAACGCAGTAAGACACAGTGATCCTACTTAATTCGGTTATCACTCTGTGGACCGAGCAGTGTCTCAGAGCCAATGTTTACCCAAGCCTGGCAGTAATTACGTTTACACCGCTCGCCCACACATCGGTTTCGCTGGGTGGGAAGAGACAGAAAGATGGGATTTTCACGGGAAAGAGTCCGGCAGGCCCTCTGCTGCCTGGGCGTCTGCGTGGGTTTCACCCAGCCCGCCAGATCCACCCTCCCCAGCACTGAGCTTTGAGCAATCCTCAGGGTCTAGGCCTGCCAAGCTATGGCTCACATGCAAAAAAAAAAAAAATCTATTTTTTGAGCTCCGTTCTCCCAAAGAACATATCTTGCCTGATGTGGAAATACAGTGAAATATCAAGGAAGTTTATTTTGTATTTGTGCTTGGTTTTTAAAATATCCACACTTACAGTGGAAGGGCAGCGGCCGGCACGGCGGGGAGGCAGTGTGCACCTCCCCGGGACCTGCTTCCCACGCCGAGTCTTCCCGGCTGGCCCCGGGGAGCAGGGCGTCTGTAAGACCTCTGCTGGACAAGCCCAGCGTTCGTCCGTTGCACACCTTCTACTGTGCATTAATCAGTTACAGCACCACCCGTCATTGTTGTAGGGACCCCGGCTAGCTGCCCTCTGGTCATCTGATTGACAGCTGAGTCGCCACTTCTTTGCCTGGTTTAGTTGGTGGACACTTCAGATCTCTGGGACTGAAGGCTTCCGGGGACGACGTGCGGACGGCACTGCTTCCAGGACGCAGCGCCTCGTCCTTCCGGGAATCTGGGGGGCGCGCTCGGCCTCTGCCAGAGACGGAGGCCTCTTCCTTGGGGTCTGAGATTCCAGCAGAAAGGCTTTGCGGGGGCGGGTTTCAGGCCAGCCCCCACCCCCCTCCCTGCTTGGCACCTCTCCGTCACCGCGGGGCGCTCTGTGTCGGCCTCTCACAGGGGTCCTTGAGGTCAGCTGTCTGGGGTGCCCAGCACCGCCGCTGGCTCCCGAGCCAGCAGAGAGCGGGCGCACACCCAGTGGACCCACGCTGCGTGCCTGGCGGGTGGGGTGGGCGGGACGAGGCCAGGGGCGCCCAGGGGTGAGTTCCCTCAGCGCAGTCGCGTGCCCGCCCCGCGTGTTTCCCACGTGTCCAAGGCGCCCACGCGGCGTGTGTGAGAAGACGTTGTGCAGGCGCGGTGCCTGGGGAGGACTCAGCGGCCAGAGGGCCCCTTTGCAGCAGGTGCGCCGTCTGGAGGGCCCCGCCCTTGGCAGGCAGGGGTGGCTAACTGCTCTCTCACAGCCGAGCTGCGGGCTGCGCTAAGTCCCTGCTTTTCTGAGTCAGCTCTGGGCATGAGGGTGGAGACCACCCCACACAAGAGCAGAGCGAGGGC